TCTGTTCACTTACTTGTGACGTTGGGAAAATGGCTAATCTCTTCAATTTGCTTATCTCAAAAACAGTGAGAATACTATCTGCCTTGTGTGATGGTACTCCATGATTGTAAAGTAATGAGAGTGCTTGAGCAGAATTGTGATTATTAATACTATCATCATCATCATCATCATCATCATCACTTTTCAATTTTTTCTTAAGTATTTTAATCCTAAAAGAGCACCATAGGTCCTACCCCCTTTGATTTCCACAAACTGCTGAGGGTTTATAGCATGCTGCATAGAATGTACTAAATGTGGTCCCCAAACAAAGATACAATAGCAATATACTCGAGACTCCTTGTGTTTACTGAACAAAACACAGAAGCTCCCTCTTGTTCTTACTTTCTAAATAAGACAGACTACTCTAACCATTAGAATTAACTCTCCCAAAATAGTACATTGGCAATCTTTGATACAGGCAAGCCAATCGCTCATTAAAATGTGTATTTCTTTCTGAAAATTTGTTTTTCTCTTCAAATTGTTTTCTTTTCCTCAAGAACATTTCACTTGGAATGGACTTCCAATTCCAATACCACTAAGTTTCTTATGAACTAGTAGTTCCTTTATGAATCCAGGTGCCTCTGTCCACCATAATGTTGTAAAGTTAAATAATTAATTTGAATCATTCTAGCAACGTGAAAACAGTCCTGCCTGGCCATGGACCTAGCCACCTGACCAAGGCTCAAAGACAGGTGGATGGAGCTTTCTGGCTTTCCTTCAGCTTGATTTGCTTTATTTCTAGTGGCAATTTGTTAGCAACTTACAGAAGAGGCCAGGCAAGTTTTGCTGGCTTCCTGTGCTTGTCTTGTAATTTGGCAACACCCTATGGGCTCTGATGCCCAGGCTCCTCTCTCCTAAATCCCTAATCCGTTCCCATTTCTGCAGGATAAAAGCCTGAAATTCTCCTGCAGAGCTTTAGAACACTAATTCATTCATTTGGTAAACAAATATCTATGGACTGCTTACTCTGTGCCAACCACTGTTTTAGGTGGTAAAGAACAGAGTCCCAGCCTTTGTGGATCTTGCATTGTAATCGGGGACAAATAAGTAAATAAAAATATAATATTTGATTTTGAAAACTGAACGGAATGGAAATGATTTACAATGTCTGCATCTATTAATCATTTAAACTTTAAGCAAGGTAAAAAGCCAAGAACTGGTTTTATGATCAAGGTGAACTGAATAGGAGAGTAGTATGGAAGGGAAGTGAAATTTTGGGAGACTTTGTTTTGTTCTCTTGCCTTTAAAACTGAAATGTTTGCTCAGCCTCTTACTCTCAGTAAAGAAGCAGGGCCTCCCTGTAAGAAAACTATATTCCTTCCTTTGTACAAACCGTAGCTTGTATGTTGGCCACAATGACAGTGGGGGGATGTGTGATAATGCTTCAGGAAATGAGTTCTTTAACAAAAATCAAATGGAAGATGGGCAGCCTCAGCTCACTGCTCTCAGGTGCAATGGCCTTAATATTTTAGATTATGAAAAAAGATGAGAGAGCAAATCTGACATGTTGTAGGCAGTGTCTGCCAGCAAACAGTCTGAATCTCAATTAAAATACTTTGTGAGACCCACCAAAAATAGATGGAGATCCAGAGTAAAGCAGATAAAAATTGTTCACATTTTAGTGTGATGCTGTATGTGTCCATCTTATTTGATGCAATTTCTGCATCTGTACAAAATATTAAGCTCATTTTACCCAAAACTACTTTTAAATAAAAGAATAGCTTAAATAAAGGAAAGCAGTGGTGGTTAATTTTTGAAGGTTCTTGACTGGGAAGAGAGCATAAGGGAATGTTCTGGGGTGATGGAAATATTCTAAAACTGGATCTGGGTGCTTGTTAAGTGGGTGGATAGAGATATAAAAAGTCATCACGGTACAACTTAATATTTGTATAATTTCACTGTGTCTTATAGTAACTTCAATGAAAAAGGAAGAAAAAATAAGTAAAGAGCAAGCCCGCATTTCAGGCCTGCAGATGTATAGTAAACTAAACATCATAAACTATGGGCTCTCCAGCCTATGAAGGGACTGATTTAGATCTTTACAATTGCTTCCTATTTGCTCAACTGATTACATGATTTAGCACACCATGGAGCTGTTAACTTGCCTCCTTGTTATTGGCACCCATTGGGTTCCAATACTAAACCCATCTAGAAAGGAAATTAGAAAACAAATAAGGAGAAAGGGAAATACCCACTGAGTTCTCAGCTGAGCCAAAATTCAGAGACAGTTTCATGCTTGTTGGGAATTTCTCTCAATAGGGTATTCCATGCTGGTAATAGTTTACCCCAAGAATTCTGGATCTCCGTAGAATTGTTAGATCTGCCACAAAGGCAGATATAATTGTGTGTGTGGCTTCTGCTCCCTAAATAAATGTGAAAAGTTCACCTCACAAAAGAGTCATATTCAGCAAACCTATGATTAAGAATATTAAAATTGGGTTGTTTCCAATAGCAAACAAAATAGAGTTGAATTCCATGTTGCATGCTTTTAAAACTGTATTTATTTTCACTATTATTAATTTCTAATTTCTCATAAGAAACTTATAGATTTTTCTGGGTTTGATTCACTTAAATTATGTACATGCTCACTGATTATTTTTCTATAATGAACATATTTTTGTTTGATGAAAGTATTTCCTCTTAAAAAATAGGAAAGAATAAATAGATTCTCCTTGAGTTAATAACAGTTTTAAAAAGTCATAGATTCTTTTGTGGTTTTTACCCCTTTACAAAGTGTCAGGTTTTTTAAATTGATTACTAGAGATTTTCATTTTGATCCCTTTACTTTTATTTAAAAGAGTCCATGGCATTAATCTCAATAAAACTGTGCTTTCCAAAAAATAAAGTCTCCTATGCTGGAAAAAAATTTTAAATATCTATATTATATCTATATCTCTAAATGAAATCCATGACTGACAAAAATTATTGTTCCTAAAATGTTAAGTCAGTTGTTGATAACTCAAAAATCTATTTTTTTCCCTTTAGAGACATGGTATTTGTGTTCTCAGAATAGCCCACAGAAGCTAGGTAACTTATTTAGCAATGGAGGTAAAATACTGTATGTTTATGGCAAAATTTAAATAATAAAAATATTATAGCAAGAGCAGTACCAGAAGGTTGCTGAATAAGACAGAATTTTATAATTTTACCTTTCAGGTATTGTTTGAAGACATGTTTAATTACATGAAAGACACCTTCAAATAACCTACATGTGTCAATATAGATAATGCAGAATAAAGAGTAAAAACAAAATATGAATCATTCTACAAACCAAAAATATCTACGCTTAATATAGTGTTGTACTTATGTCCAAGAATAAGAATATATTTTTACACAATTGAGGTCACACTGCACTGTTTTGTATCTTGCTTTTCCTAATCACTGTTGTATTTTAACAAGTTTGAAGATTGTCAGCATAGATTCTTTGTCTAATCTCACTTCAGATCCCAAATTTTTACTTTCTTTGAAGTATATGCCACTACTTTGTGTTTCATATTATATAGAATGTACAAAATGAAACAGAGAAAGAAAAGAGAAGAGGACCAGTAGGAGAGAGTGAGAATGAGCATGCCAGCAAGGGAGAGTTTCGGTTGTAGTGCCAGAGTCAAAGGGATCTACAGATATAAAAGAGTTCTTAGAGAAAATAAACAGGAGTGGAGCAGTGAACTTTAGAATAACAGGGATTCTAGTATTGGTGCTAAATAGAAATAAACATTATTTTATCCTATCCCATCATTTGATAAGGAGATGAATGTTTATCAAGTTTAAGGTCTTGCTTAGGGGACAGAGATAGTTTGAAGCAATACTGGTAAGGGAACTCAGATATGCTAATTCTCTACCTTAATTTCCTTCTTGAATCACTGAGGTATAGAAAAATTAAAGAGCAATAGGTAAGCACCATCTCACTGAGGACTAAAAAAAGGGAAATGGTAGCCCTGGCTGGTCTGGCTCAGTAGACAGAGCATTAGCTTGTGGACTGAAGGGTTGTAGGTTTGATTCTGGTCAAGGGCACATACCTTGGTTGCAGTCTGGACTCCCAGCCCCAGTCAGGTGCATGTAGGAGGTAACCAATCAATGTGTCTCTCTCACATCAATGTTTCTCTACCTCTCACTTCCACTTTCTCTAAAAATCAATGGAAAAAATATCATCGGGTGAGGATTAACAAAAATGAATGAATGAATGAATGAATGAATGAATGAAATGGTGCAAAAGAGATGGCGGCTCAAACAATATCCTAACTATATAAGGCTTGATCATTGCCGGCTGGAGCTCAGAAAAGTTAAGGAAAAGGGGAGCAGAGTAGCCCTCTTGGGTGCAGAGATGTGAAGACTATGTACGAGCCACTATCCTTAAATGTTTTTCTTTCAGCTCAAGGATTACATGCTCCAGATTTGTCAAAATTCTAGAATGAATGCTGCAATATATTGTTAACCCACCCACATAGATTAACAAATGAAAAGACATTCAAGTTAAATATGCTCATTTGATGGAAGGAGAACCAATGCTCAATCACAACCAAATATGCTTATCACATCCTTTATTGTCATTGAAGCAAAGTCCACCTGTCCAAAGTATAAATCTAAAACAGTATAAACTTTATGTATTTTGGACAGCAGTATGGGTAAGAGCCCATTGTCCGCATTATAGTATTTCTCAGTGCTCTTGCTGATCCTAAAATAAGCTTGTGTCCAGTGCCACTGGGAGGTAGGAGTCAGAGATTGGAAGATGGGAAATAGAAAGTAAGGGGTTATAGTAAAACTGTACATTATTTTTTAAATTTACCTATAATGGTAAACTTAAAAAATAAAAAGCATTGACCTGTGTTCGAGCTTAGATTTCATTATTTAAATCAGTCACTTTGCTTTAATATCAAATGTATTTTTGGTTTGTTTCTCAAGAATCAGACCTCACAGATTTAAAACACTTACTTTTTTATTTTCTATAACTTTTTTTTGCTAAGGCTCACTTTGACCTTATCCTGTCCCATGGACTTGAAGAATTTTCCAATGGATGTCCAGACATGTACAATGCAGCTGGAGAGTTGTAAGTCACTGCTGTTGAAATGACTGCCTCCTTGTTTCAATCAATAACCTGGTTCTTTTAGTGTGTCATTAATTAAGGAGAAAGACCCATAAGTCTCATTCTCTACCTACTTACCAACTCCCAAGGTCCTAATGAAAGGGCAAGCAAAAGTGTGTGTGCATGTCTGATACCTAATAGACAATCTTTCAAAGTAAAATGCCAAATAACTCACTTTCCTCAAAAAGAAGCCTGATTGAGTAAGCTATTTTTTGAAATGAAAATATCTCCTCAGAAAATTAAGATGATTAGTCATTCAATCTCTATAATGAATTGCTCTCTAATCAGAAAATTATATGTCTATCTTATGCTCATATAGACCATCACCCCCAAGGAATTTTGGCAGGGAGGGATAATTGATTTGAGGACAAGATACAAGAGACTTAGTCAGAGGAGGATGCAAAACTGAGGGGCCTGAGATGATATGGGATAAGAGGCATCTCCTGCCCTCGCCGGTTTGGCTCAGTGGATAGAGCGTCGGCCTGTGGACTGAAGTGTCCCAGGTTCGATTCCAGTCGGCATGTACCACCTTGGTTGCAGGCACATCCCCAGTGGGGGGTGTGCAGGAGGCAGCTGATCGATGTTTCTCTCTCATTGATGTTTCTAACTCTCTATCCTTCTCCCTTCCTCTCTGTAAAAAATCAATAAAATATATATTTTTTAAAATT